TGAATAGAATAGAATAGGTTATTACTACACAGAAAGAAATTATGAATGTGAATAATTCTGAGCAGGCTGGGAAGACACCAGCTGATGGCAAAGTGAAGTCAGCAGAACCAGGAAAATGGACACAGTAACTACAATAATGTAAAGGGGGGGAGGGGCAGTGCAATGCTGTGTGTTTATAGTAACCAAGCTTGGTCTGGAAAAAGATGAGAAAACACGCCTCCCTCCATACCTTGCACAGGTGGGGGGCTATGGGCAGGGGAAAATGCATGCGCTGTCCGACTCAGTAGATATTTTGGTTAGTTTTTCTGAACTGCTTTTTTCCCTCTCTGTTTCATTTTTTGTTATAACTCTCAGGATAAGAAAAGGGAGAGAATTTTTTGGGGGGGAAATAAATAAAGTGTAAAAATAAGATATCAATAAGAATTTAGAAAATCTCCTGTGCACCTACCATGGCCCAATCCCACCCCGATGCTGGACACAAAGGCAGAGCTCTGGCTCCTTACAGCACTCTCTTATAGCCCTCCCTCTGGGTTAACAATGATTAACAAATATAAAATACTGTGTTGGGCTCTCAATGCTCTCCATAACCTGGCCCCTTCCTACCTTTCTGGTCTTCTTACATCTTCCTGCCCACCACGTGCTCTGAGCCAGGGACACTGACCTCCTGGCAGTTCCTCCAGTGGGACAGGCCATCTCCTGACTCCAGGCATTTTCTCTGGCTGACCCCATGCCTGGAATTCTCTTTCTTCATTTCTGCCTCCCCCTCTCTGGCTTCCTTCAAGAATGGAGGGGAGAGGGAACCTAGACTTTGAGACTGACCCCTGACACCCTTTTCAGGATTGGGCCTGACCCCTGATTTCTCTGCCCTACCAGTGATGTTGGCTTTTTTTTATCAGGCTTTAGTATCTGTTCCCTCTCCCAGGTGACTTTTGGTCTAGTCGTGGCTTCTGGGGTCAGATGATTAGAATTTGATTTATATGTTTTCTGGGCTCCAACAGACTGTGTCCTGTCTGGTAGGAAGGGATTGAACCTTTTGTGACTTTTCCCTGTGGGTCATAGCTGCTGACCTATGCTCCTGCTGTCTGGCCATGGTATGTGGCATTTGTCTGAGCCTTCTCACCCTTTGACCTGCTTACCTTCTGAGAATATCATTGATCTAATGTTTTCAGTTGGGTGACTTGATGCAAGGTCCTAAGTAAATAAAACTTAACCTTTTCCTTTGGCAGAGGTGGGGAAGCAGGGAGATAAGGGAGCATTGGCTTCTTGGTGAAGGAATATTGTTGGGGATTCTGGAAAGTACTCATTGATAAAGTTCATTCAACAAAATCTATTAGTGTGTACAAGTTCCAGAGCTAGGCTTTAGGAATGCAGATATGAAATGAGACATCTCCGTATAGTGGAAAAAGCCCAGCATTTGGACTTTAAAGATCTGAGTTTTCATCCCCAGGTTGCTCCTTTTCTGTATGACCTGGGGCAAGTCCCATATCTCCCCTTGGGTCCTCACTTTCCTCATCTGCAAAATGATAGGATCAGAGTAGATGATCTTGGATCTCTTAAGATCCTTTCCAGCTCTAAATCCTAGGATTCTGGTTCTCCAAGGAACTTAATCTAGTAGGAATATTAAAACACACACAAATAACTATAATCTGAAATTAGAATGTAAACACATAGGAGAGGTTCAGCCAGAGGGGTGTGAGAGATTGGATTGCTCTCTGCATCTGACGTTGCTTAATAACTGTTTGATGGATTTGATTTAATTCTGTGAATATCCAGGAAGGCTTCTTGGCACAGGGTTATCGATCATCCCTGGCTCTCTTGCTCTGAAAAAAAAGTTAAATGGAAAGAACACTTAACTGAGAGTCAGATGACTTGGATTCTGGGTCCCATCAGTAGCTGTGTGACCTTGGACAAGTGCCCTGACTTCTGACTAACTGCTCTTTGCCAGGTTCTTGTCCACAAGATTGGGCTTGTTAAGATCAAAGGATATATTTGGGGAAGCGCTTTGTAATATACATCTGTAAGGTGATAGCTTTAGCCAGATAAGAATATCGCCTTTACTGCTTTGAAACTCACTGTCTCTGTAAATACATTTTTCAAAAACCATTGCAAATAAGGGTTTCCATGTCTTTACACTAAACTTAGCTTGTCCTAGTTGGAAATATTTTTGGTTTGCCCATCTGTTGAGCTGGTGTGCAGAGGACTTCAAGTGTGAAAACCTTCAAGATAACAGGATGTTAGGATATCAGAGAGGGAAACATGCCCTTATGCTAGGTAATCCTGTGTTGAGCGGTGTGCTGTCATTTCAGAGTTAGTGGTGGCTAGAGATCAGATCAAACCAGTTGGCTTAATGGCTAGAATGCCGGACCAAGAGTCAGGAAGACCTGAATTCAAGTCCAGCTTTGGTTTCTTCATCTCTAAAATGGACATAATGATAGCACCTGCTTTCCAGGGTTGTTGTGAGATATGTGAAAAACACTTTTCAAACCTTAAAATGCTATATAAATGATGATGATGATGATGTTGGTGATGGTGATGATGGTGATGGTGATGGTGATGATGGTGATGATGGTGATGGTGATGATGGTGATGATGATGGTGATGATGGTGATGTTGATGGTGGTGATGGTGATGATGATGATGGTGATGATGATGGTGGTGATGATGGTGATGATGATGGTGGTAATGGTGATGATGGTGATGATGATGATGGTGATGTTGATAATGATGATGGTGGTGGTGGTGACGGTGAGGATGACGCTAGTCAACCCAGAAAGAAACTGCTGTAGACAGAAGGCTGAAGCCCAGCTGAGATTTGCTTTTCTCTAATGGATCTGCAACCAGTGTCAGGTCTCTGGGCTCCCGTGTTAGCCTCCCTTCCCCAACTCTCAAAGCTTCTCAGCATGAAGACTTTTTTTTTTTTTTTTTTTTGGAGCAGCTAGGTTACACAGTGTATAGAGCATTGGGCCTGGAGTCAGGAAGATCTAAGTTTAATTCCAATTTCAGACACTTTCTAGCTGTATGACCTTAGGCAAGTCACTTAACCTGTTTGCCTCAGTTTCCTCATCTGTTAAGTGTGGATAATAATAGCACCTGCATCCCAGAGTGATTTTGAGGATTAAATGAAATAATAATTGTAAAGTGCTTAGCACAATGTTTGGCCCATAGTAAGTACTATATAAATGTTAACTATTGTTATTTTTATTTTTCCCACTTTTCTCATCTTCCTATATAGGGCCTTGTTTCTTTATAGAATCTTTATCTTTGATATCCCCAGTCCAGGAAGTGGATTTTTTATTTCTGTTGTACTAGGAGTATCTAAAGGGCTCTTCCAGTCATTAAAATACAAACAACGTGAAAAGAGAGGTCCAAAAGTAGAGCGAGCTTTCCCAGGAGGCTATGGGTTTCCCTTCATAGAAGTGTTTCCAGCAGAGGCTAAATCAGTGACATCAAACTCAGACGGAAATGGGAATCCCTCAGATCTACATAAGGATTCCTGAAGGCTACAGATTGACTTAGAAAACCACATATTAACATTATCTATGTTCTACTGTATTTTTATGTATTTTGTTAAATATTTTTAATTATATTTTAACCTGATTTGGGCTTTACTCAAGAGGGCTGCAGCGGCTTGATGCCTCTGGGCTAAATGACTACTTAGTCACTATTCCTTTTGGGTAGCAGGTGTACCAAATGACCTCTGAACGACCAACTCTAAAATTTGATGATTCTGTAAAATATAGTTCCTTCTGCTTTTGATAAATTTAGGGTTTCATATCCAAACTAGTCCAGGAATCCAAAATTTTTTAAAGTGGCTTAAATCATCTTTACTAATCCAAGATGGAAGAAACATAGCTAAGCCAGCAGTTCATCTTTAAAGAGGTCTGGAACCTTTAGCTTGATCTGAGCAAGTTGTGTGATCTGGCTGCCAAGAAAGCTAGTGCTGTCTTAGGCTTCATTAAGAAAGGCATAGCATCCAGGCATAGGGAGGTAGCCTTCCTGCCCTGGTCTTTCCCTGTCAGACCTGATCTGGATTATTGTCTTCGGTTCTAGGAGACACATTTTAGGAAAGATATTGGGAAGCTAATGTGGAGACTAAAATTGTCTAACCTACAATAAAAGAGACTGAGGCAGGGCTCTGAGCCAGTAGCACTTTATTGAAAGGTCTATGGTCCCCTCTAATGAAGCGGACCTCAGATCTTTCTCAAGACCTTCCAGGAAGATCTTTCAGGCGTTTGTTTTTATAGTGTTTCCAAATATGTAAAAGAGGAATGGTGAAATACAGAATCTCATTGGTTGATAGGTCATGCTCTTGAGGGCCAGAAATGACGTATCAGCGGGGGTAGGAGTGGAGGGGTATAACAGGTTGGGCGAAGCATGGGGCATCTCCACTGACTTAGTGATCATAAAATGGTCACTTGCTCATGTTGAACAAGAGAGGGACAAAAATAAATTGGGAGACTCTCCAAAGCATCAAGGCATCCCACCCATGCTGGATTTGGACATGGAATTTGAGTAAGACAGGATGGAGCTATCTTTATCAGCATTCATGTGGTTGCACAAGGGAGCCTCATAACTTGGTAAACAAGTGGTGAACATTCATCAAAGTTTGGGGCCCACTATAAGAACCTATCTATCCCTATATGATTTATGTAAAGTATCAGACTGATTGGAATACAATAGGGTCCAAATGCATTGTTTCTCACACTAAAGAACATCGAAAGGAGGGCAGGTAGGACGGTGAAAGTCCTTGAGCTCTTGTCATGTAAAGATTGGCTAAAAAGATGTGGAAAACTTGAAGGGGACATAGTAGCTGTCTTAGTGTTTGAAGACCTAGGAGATTGAGGAGGGATTAAATATGTTGTTTGGCCTCAGAGGGCAGGACCAGTCATGGAGGCAGAATTTGCAATGCCCTGGATATAAAGAAAGACTTCCTAACAGTTAGATCTATCTTACAAAATGACTGAGCCGTCCTGGGTGGATGCTAATGATTTCCCTTTCAGATCAACAGACAGATCCTGGCTAGCTTCCTGCCAGCTGGGTTGTAGAGAAGATGCTTATGCAGGTATGGATTGGACCAAGTGGCTCCTCGGTACCTTCCAACTCTGAAATTCTGTGATTCTTTGAGGATGGGACTGAGTAAACTTCCCCAGATCCCCAGGAGCTTAAGCTCTCCTCCATGACATTGGATGTAGGTGAGTAGACCTTTGGGTAGATGACAAATCTGGGCTTGAAAAATATCTGTGTGACTTAGAAAAGTCTCAGAATAGGCCCCACAGTAGAGGACAGAGAAAGCAAAGGGGAAGCAGGCCACCTTACAACAGAGTTGTCGCCTTTATGTAGTTTTGGAAAGTCTGGTGATTCTTAGAGTTTCACTTTCATCTTTCATTCTGTTCTCATGTCTGGAAAGAAGGAAGGGACCAAATTGCTGGAGATCTTTGGGGCCTGAGCTGGAAATGCTATTAATTTCCAAGAGGCTGTTACCACAGCAAGAGATCTTGCCTTGAATTTTCATCCTGGGAGATGTCAGAAAGCTCTTTCTTTCTGAAGGTGCAAGCATCACCTTTCTTTTCTTCTGAGTCAGAATTATTTTGCTCGATCCCAGAGCGCAAGTAGGACCAGTGGATGCAAATTGCAGGGCAGGTTTCAATTTAATATAAGGAAAAACATTAAAAGCTGAACATTGAACAGAAATACCACAAACTAAATGTGCTTAGTAGCTATTTACATTTAAATTAATTTCAATTAAAAAATATAGCAATTTTTAAAAAATTCCTCAAAGTTGATGGCTAGTTATTGATGGGATATAACTGGACTTCTCTCTTCTCTAAGACATATATTACTCAAGCTGGTGCAGTTGTATGTAGGGGGTATAACATAGCCTGGATGACAAACTAGTATGTCCCCATTTCTACTACTTATTGGGAAAGCAGAAAAAAGACCTTAGCTTAAAAAGGCCCAAGTCTCCCACTGCATGCAGGACTATCTTCAGTTGTCCTGATCTATATCTGGCCACTGGACCCAGGTGGCTCTGGAGGAGAAGGTGAGGCTGGTGACTTTGCACAGCCCTCCTTCACTTAAATCCAATTTACTTTCTTCTCATGACATCACCTTGCTGATGCAAACAACAAAAAGTCACCTAATGCTCTGCCCTCCTTAATCTCAGTGCCCTCCCCCTGAGATTATCTCTAATTTACATCTATTTCTTGTGTGGACATGGGTGTTTGCATGGTGTCTGCCCATTAGCTGTGAGCTGGTAGAGAGCAGTTGTTTTTTGCCTTTCCTGTACCCTAGCACTTAGCACTTTGCCTGGCATGTAGTAGGTACTTAATAAATGCTTCTTGACTGCTCCATCCCTTAGAAACCACTCTTTGGACTCGGGTGTTTGATAGTTCCAAATCAGTGTCCTATCCTTCAGCCCACATCCTTCCACCTTCCCTGAAAGGATAGAATCCAAGACTTGGTATTGATAGCATTGCAACAGCGGAAATCTACCATCATGTTTTCTTCTTGGTGGCCTCCTCTGTGGGATACAATTGATCTTGTTCGTAGACTGAGACAGGAAGACTTGGGGGACACTCTAACCTGAGATTACTCCCAGGGCTCATTATGTAACAGAAGACATGTTCTGTGTTCATTCTTCAGCAGCCAGTTTGGTTTAAGGGAACACAATCGATGCCAAGAAGATGAGCGTCAATTTAGTTGTCTTCCAGGGAAAATGCCCCCCGGACTATTCTCCCAGCTAAACCCTTGCATTCCCAAATTGTGTCCCCGGCTGGTTGACTAGGCTTACCCTCTGGGTTCCCTTGATGACTCAGCTGCTTAAAGAACCCCCTCCAGAGCTCCTTTCCCAACTGTCACTCACTTTGGTGGGCCAGACCCTGGATGGCTAGCTACTTCTCCCTCAAGGATTCTAGGGGTAACCTTGGGGGCTGGGTTTCTAGCACCGTCTCTCACAGGTCCCTACTGGTGTGCTCCCCTAACAAGGAGCCAGTAGATGCAGTTCTTAGCAAAGGCCTTTATTTAGTCAAATGACATGGCAAGAACACCCCATAAAAACCTGGGGTGCATTTTCCCATTAATACACACAAAATTCATAGTGGGGAGAGAGTGAGTGCAGATTTGAAGTACAATAGTAGCGAGGCACACATCTGGAGAACATGTGTGGTAAAGGTGTACCGGCCGCTCCAGGCCTTGGAAGTCCTTTCCCCGCTTAGCTCCCTGTAGCTCTCTGGTGGTGCCTTCCTAGGTGGACAGTCAGCGCTCCTGAGTAGCTGCGACTCATTCCCGCTGTTCCTGAGGCCCTTCATCTCTGCTGCTGATGGGACTCTGGACCTCCTGACCTCACAGTTCTCCCTGGACACCCCCATCTCAAAACTCTCATTCCTCCAAGAGCAGGAAAGACTGAACGCAAAGAAACAGTGGACAGCAAGATGATCACGGCGTGAGGCCGGGGTCGTCCTTCCCTGACCCCACCTTAAGGCCAGCTCAGAGTCGCCTTGAAAGGAGCCCAGAGTGAGTGGCACAGGATAGGCCACCCCTTTGGTGCAGCCATGCAGTCCCTGCTCAGCAGCGATGTGGTTCTTCAGGCTTCAGCCATTTAAAAGATTTGCTTTGATTCCCATACAGCTGCCCATAGCTGGACATTGTTCCCTCCCCTCTCTGCCCCTCCCCCCACCCCTGGCAGTTTCCACATGGTTGCTTGGACTGAAACCAGTCAGCTCTCCCGATGTTATGTGAGACCTGTCCCCCGCCACATCTTCTAGCTCCCATGCCTCCACCTCCTCTTGGAGGATTTCTGACATGACTGCACCCAATTAGAAAGAAATAAAGAATGTCTTCGGTACACTGCACACCCCACCCAACTGAATTTGCCTCAGGTACCAGAATTCCTAATGGTAGCTCATTTGAACTTTCTCTGACCTCTCCCAGTGAAAATCACCCTCTTTTTCTCACTCCCAAGTATTTACATTTTATATAACCTCAGGGTAAGTGGACTGCTTAATTCAAAGAATGAATAGTTAATGGTGAAAGCATCCTGGTACTGGGGCAGGAATGCTGGAAAAAAGGCAGTTCTTGCCTTCCAAGAGCTTACAGTCTAATGGAGGAAGCCAAAAAGTAGGTGGGAGGTGGTAGAAGGTACAGGCTGCAGACATGGTGGAGAAGTCTGAAGCAGTGCATCCAGGTGGGAAATGAAGAGCTGGCTGGCCTAGGCACCCTCCATCAATGGAGGGTCCAAGGGACAGAGGGTACTTATGAGGTAGCTGATGTGATCTTACAGTATGATGAGGTTTCTGGCCTCAAAGATCTCTCCCATCTTTAATGTGCTATTGTAAAAGGCAATCCGGACCTCCTGTGAGATATCCATGACAAAATTATTTCATTAATAAAGTTTAATTAATTAATAAGGATGCAGCCTTTGTTCTGCTACTGAGGTGTTTCCTTCATAAGATGTGAACTCATCTTGCCCTAGACACCCTTTGGCTCATTGACTTCACTTTGGGGCTGATTGATAGAGACCTGGTAAGTCACTTGGCCTTTAAAAGGGAGAGAAGACACAACCAGAGATAAAGAGGACAAGAAAAAACCCAAAGAGACGTATGCAGACTTTGATTTCCTAGGGGGAAGCTCCACAGTCACGTGGCCAGAAGCCCCTCTAGAGAGCCAATCAGCATAAGCATCTGGGAATACTTGGCTACAAAGAAGGTGGTAGCTAGAGGCAGTGGTAGGGTGTGGAGTTCCTGAACTCCAATACTGAGTACCTGGGCGGAGCCCCAGAACCAGAATGTAAAGGAGCAAGCCCAGATGCCTCTTTACTGGGTAGGTAAATTACGTGGTGTATGCCCACATACCTAGGGAGTGAAGGCAAATCCTAGGTCTTTCCCCCTGGCCAGGGTGCCTGCATTCGCAGTATCCACAAGTTTGGGGGAAATGGATAGGTCCCTAGAGGAATTTAAGGACCCTGGAGAGGGAAAAAGTTCATTTCTGGTTCCAGTTTACTGTTTATGGAACCATGTAGAAGTCCTTGGTCCTTTCTGTCAAGTTGAATAAAGCTTGTGCTAGATTTGATGTCTTTAGTCTGAGTGGTTGGATGGGATTTAAGGATTCCAGCCAAATTCTAGTGTTCCCAGGGGAAGCACTGGGTGGACATATGAGCAGAAAGATAAATTTTAGTGAGAAACCTCCAAGGTTGAACCCAGTTCATGTCAATGGAGAGTACTGAGCCACTGTGATTCTGTAAATCTCAGGCATCAGCAGCAACTGGTACAGGAACTCTTTGGGGGCAGGGAGCTTTCCTGACCTCCCCCCACCACATCATAGCATAGAAACGATGGCTCGTCTCCCTCTGCAGAGAGTGGTCTTGACCCGAGGAATCGCTTTTCATTCATTTCCCTGCTACTGTCTCTGCTGTAGGCCGTGTGATAATCTAAGTGGCAAAAACAGTCTGAGCTAAAAATATTTTAACCACGTCCAGTGATGACTTGTTTTTAACAAATTCCTAGGGAGTCAATATCATGGAAGAGGGCACTTACAGGTCTTGGGATCTGATCAGTATTCTGGTCAGGGTTTGGTGCTGCATCAGCTCTGTGCTGTTGGCAAAAGTCACATTTGTCAATTTGATAAGGCCTTAAGAGGAATGTGCCAACCCCCGCACTGTATTCCCATTTATTTGGAAGTGCATTTGCTAAGTGAACTTTTTCTGCAATCAATAGTACATAGATTTAAAATAATATTTCTTGTGGTTTACTTACTATCTAAGAGCCATGCTGGGTTTGGAACTCTTGATTGCAGCCACAAAGTAACTTGTCCTCCACTTCAAAGCAGAAGGGAATGTTTGATCCTTGACCATGAAAGCCAGAAGGGATCTAGAGACCATCTAGTCATAGGATTCTGGAACCCAAGAAGTGGAAAGGCCCTCCCAGGTCATGGCCGCCCATGAACCTGGAGCCCCAGCAGCCTCTGATCGCTGAGTGCCTTCTGAGGTAGCCAAGGCCATTTCGGGATAGCTCTGTTGGTTAAGAAGTTTCTCCTTGTATTCAGTCCAACGCCTTCATTTTACAGGCAGAGAAAGTAAAGCCCCAAGAAGGGAAGGGGCTTTCCAAAGGTCATCCCTGTAATGGAGGGCAGAACTGACTCTCTCTTTCACCTATTCATGGAGGTAATACAGCATGGAACAGAAAAGACTGGTGTGTCA